CCCAGTAAATTATTTTTTTGTCTTCCGAGTTGCCATGTTCAGGTGAGCATATTCTGGTAAAATTCAAAAGCCAAGGCAGTGGCATAGCCAGGAAGGAAAAAGCGACACCATCATTATACTTCAACGCAAGTAGCGCAATTGAGTAATGCACTATTTCGTACTGAAATTAAGTCATCTTTTGAACAACTTATTGTATTATTTATTTATTTATTATAACAACTCTTCAGTTTTACAGAAAGGGGTAGTTATAGTAGAAGAATATGAAACAGGCAAACATTTCACCAACAATTTGTTACAACGCTGAGTGACTGACGCTGAACATCGTCCATTTTTTAAGTAAGAGACAATAGCAATACACTGATACATAGGCTACAGTAACACGATATCACCCTGGTGGCATAAAATATAGCAATCAATTAATTACAGATAAAAGTAAGTTTTCCATATTTATCGATTGTATCAGACAATAATATACTTGCTTTTTGTCCCAAGGAAAAATCTATCGTTTTAACTGAATTTTTCATAGATTTCATATCGCAAACAAACATTATGGTCGTATTATATACTTAACAACGCTTTTATTAAATATACTGGCCATACTAATTGATATGTTACAGTACTTGTGTCTGTTTTCGTTATTCAAAAATATCAGTGATTTATATGCTATAATTGTAATTTGGAGTATTGTTTAACCAAAGTAAAATTGGTTGTCTGAGTACGTTTGAGATATAAAACATTATACTTTCAATAGAAAAATAAAAATAAAAATTTTCAAAGATCGGCGTTTCAGCTCAGTGCACATTGATTATATTTTGAAATTTTACACTTTACGATGGAAGTAAGAAAAATGACTTTTTACCAGCGTAAAATTGAATTTCGAATAATAATATTTACTTGAATAGGCTTAGTGTTGATAGACCTTTCTAGGTCGTTGTATCTGGGCGATAATAAAAGAGAAATGCCCTTAATAATAAGATATACCTGATATACTTGTCACAGTGAGTCTTATATCTTAATATCAATCAAAATTCTGAAAATGGCGCCGTTATAACTTGGTTTAAAAAACGAAGGCTAACAATTTGATGCGATATGCGAACGGTATAAAATCGCACGCAAGTGTCTTGAGAGCAGGCTACTTGAAGTACTCTATAAAGTGTACATGCAATTAAATGTCGATATCAACAGAAAACAAGTTGTTATTTTAATGGTAGCCTACGTTTTCAAGAAAAGGATGCTCATATTAATAGTTTTATCATGTTTGTATTCGAACAGTATTTTTCAAGGGTTGTAATACATGTAATAGGGCGACGAGGCAGCTGCCTCATTTGCCTCAACGTAGCTACGCTCTTGCAAGGCATATCGTACTATGCTACATTGTAGTATTGTTGCACGAAGGTAGTTATAAGGGAGACCAATTATTATGACGGTTCAGTTTGACTACTAGAAATTGTATTTTTTATAATTAATGGATTGATTCATGCATACATTTTCAATCTCAAATTACAAAGGCCACACATTGATGAGAAATGCCAGGGTGCATCATTCAAGGGAGTGTTGTATTATTAGGTTTCTTGGTTTTCGATTAAAATTCCGAAATAGAGTGCTATTTTAACTAGAAATCGGCAACTCCACGGAGAAGAAAATCCCAACGAACACCATATAAAACATGAATCTGTACAGTCACAATGTAATATTTATCATCTACTCTTCCCTTCAATAAATATTTGAGATTTAATATCATGTAACCATACTTTCAAGATAACTCTCAAGTAATGGTGAATTCCTGCTCTAGGCAGGCATTTTGAATTCTTAGAGGCACAAATCAGAAAAATAATGCCATAATTGTGATCTAATCTGTAATTCCTTCAATTTGAGTATAATGTAGCCATACTTTTAAGAGATCAGAAAACAATTGGGAAATCCCACATTAGGCGGCCATTTGGAATTTTTCGAGGCCCGAATCAGAAAAAACGATACACTATTTGCAATCTACTCTAATTTGCCCCTCGAGGTCAGGGTGAAAAACACGGGGTATATGTGAAATAGATAGATGTTGTGAATATACTACCAAAATAATATTTATCATTTTTGTTTAAAATGAAAAACAAGATTTTTGCGAAAAATTCCCACTATTTTCAAACCGGCGGCCATCTTGAAAAAGTTTTTTTGCGTAAAACTATTCACCACTATACATCTTTTCACCAAATACGAAGAAAATCTGTTGACTAGTATTTGAGTTACCTTCCGGACAGACGAACGGACGGACGGACTGACGGAGGGCTTCACTATATCCCTACTGAACTTCGTTCGTCGGGAAATTAGCCAAAAGATTAATTACTATTATGAATTTCAAAACTCCTATGTATGTAAATATGGACAATGCAAGACAAAGACTGGAGCATTTGGCATTCTTGAAAATTGCATATCTGGAGGCACACACATCTAAAATTGATTGACCGCTGCCTTATCTATTTTGTATTACGCAGATAACACACATTGACTTGTGTCAGAATTTAGATGAACTAAACCAAACAATCAAACAAAAGATTACAAACAACCATTCTATAGTTAAAGGCGAATAGATAAACACGTAACTTAGACAAAACAGATTTTATTGTTTTTACCCCAAGCAGAAACATTATACAGGGTGGTCCAAAAAAGAGAACCCTTGCAATTTGTAATTGCAATTTTGTAATTCTAAAGGATTTTTCTTTATTCTAAGGAAAGAAAAATTGTTGTGCGCCCCCCAATACGATCCACATGGAATCCCCTTGGATATGTGTGACAATCAACGTAGATTTCACATGTAATCCCCTTGGATATGTGTGACAATCAACGTAGATTATCCACATGGAATTCCCTTGGATATGTGTGACAATCAACGTAGATTCCACATGGAATCCCCTTGGATATGTGTGACAATCAACGTAGATCATCCACATGGAATCCCCATGGATATGTGTGACAATCAACGTAGATTATCCACATGGAATCCCCTTGGATATGTGTGACAATCAACGTAGATTCCACATGGAATCCCCTTGGATATGTGTGACAATCAACGTAGATCATCCACATGGAATCCCCATGGATATGTGTGACAATCAACGTAGATTATCCACATGGAATCCCCTTGGATATGTGTGACAATCAACGTAGATTATCCACATGGAATCCCCTTGGATATGTGTGACAATCAACGTAGATTATCCACATGGAATCCCCTTGGATATGTGTGACAATCAACGTAGATTATCCAAATGGAATCCCCTTGGATATGTGTGACAATCAACGTAGATTATCCACATGGAATCTCCTTGGATATGTGTGACAATCAACGTAGATTATCCACATGGAATCTCCTTGGATATATGTGACAATCAACGTAGATTCCACATGGAATCCCCTTGGATATGTGTGACAATCAACGTAGATCATCCACATGGAATCCACATGGATATGTGTGACAATCAACGTAGATTATCCACATGGAATCCCCTTGGATATGTGTGACAATCAACGTAGATTATCCACATGGAATCTCCTTGGATATGTGTGATAATCAACGTATTGTCACACGTTTCGACAGGGATATTTGGCATGGATTCCATGCGAATAAACATGGAAAAACTTTCCCAATTCCTACTCGACCAACGTGCCTAAAATCCAAGTGGATTTCGCATGGAATCCATGTGGGTTTCACGAGGATTTTTTCATGTTATCAAATTATTTCTAATATAAACAATTACAATCAATTTCAATTAGATAATTGCCAAGGTTTTATTGGGATTTATGCAATAAATAGATTTTAATGATTTATGTATGTATGTGCGTTTGTTTTGTTTTACTGTATTCAACATGTATTTATGTTCGAATTAATAAGTTTCACTGTATTCACTATTTTATTTGTGTGTAGTGACGCGTAGGGATCAAATCGTTGTATAGTGGATATGGTCGACCCTACCCACCAACCCAAATATGTTATTTCTAACTTTTATTTAATTTGTTTATAATGTTTGTGTAATTGTTGTTGTTTTTTAACACCTATACAGATTACTTACGATTTTATTGTTAAGGGGCGGTATACAATTTGTATTCTATTCAATATTCCTGTATTAAATTGTATAGATAAACTGTCCATTTTTAGCCCAACATCGGATTCTTGTTTTTTACTTATGTCATGTCCCATGTCAAGAAATAAGATATTAACATCATTAGCGGCAATTTAACATATATACTGTAAAACGGGTATTGTTAGCGAGGGGTAATTGTTAGCGATTGTTAGCGATCGCTATAGTTTCGCTAAAAATTCAATTCGCTAAAATAAACCGGGGTTAAAATAAACCAGGCGCTAAAATTTGCAAATTCCCGGGAAACAACAAGAATACTAGTATTTAAGGAGCGTTTCGTTCAGTGCTCGACCGAAAAATCAACGATTTTAAATGCTACCGTGATTTTGTGATTAGTCAGATGAGATTACAGTAGTTTGGACCAATACCATGTGCGTTAGAAGTCTTACATTTTGATAATTCCTCTGTCATGTCTGTTATTGATTCTTCTGCCATAAATGATACAATTTCTAATGCATTTCGCTAATTTGATTTTTTAAAGATTAATCTTCATTTCGCTAAAATTTCCCGCGCTAAAACCCCCTAAAATTGAAAAATCGCTAAAATTTCCCGGTGTCAAAATTACCCGTTTTACAGTATATAATATATATGTATAGTTTGCAAAAATTAGGTATAGAATAAAAAGGTTGTTTGGTTTTTATATTCCAAAATCCCTGAAGGTTATCCCATGGGCCGTGATGTTAACAAAAGTTGAAGAAGATGTTGGTCAATGCAAAAAAACTTGTTTAATTACTACAAGATAGATAATAAATCAAGACTTGTATGACATAATCTTGTACTAATCTTTTAAAACTAGAAATAGGTCGACCCTTTGTAGTATCGGGTGGCAAATCATTCCACAAAGTTATAGCCTGAAATATGATACTTCTTTTAGAAGACAATTCTAGGTGGATCCTCGAGACATACACTCCAATCCACAAGATCATCTTGCAGCGCTGTACAGCGTCGTAAACCGTACTGAACAGTACAGTTCAAGCACAGAGATTTACAGTGCTATTCTAGCATCACCTATTTTGAACAGCGTAGTTTTTACAGCGGTGTACAGTACTGTTTTTTTTAGAACAGCGGTGTACAGTGCTGTTTTTACAGCGCTGTTAAGCACTGTTTCATAAACAGCGCTGTTTGAGATTGGCAATGTAGGTATCTAATGTTTTTTTTGTTTTTTAGCAGTAGACAACTTCAACATTCGCATTACATTGAGCATATCATCCATTTATCAGGCATGTCTGTTGATGCCATGTAACTTTTGCAAGACTGACCTTTATGGTACCCACAAAAACTATAGAGCTCCCTCTAAAACAAGATCACTCTGTACAAGGACACAAACGTTAGTAACGTATCTCCAACCAACGGGTAACACTGTATTGAAGTAAATGCCTGAAGTAAATATGTTATGATTTCAGTTAAAAACGATCTTTCAGAGTACAGGGCGTCTGCAACGTTTTCAATAGCTTCGAATGAGATGAGAGAACTGGCTCCCAACCAAATTGCTGCAGCAGAATAATTGATTTAACCATTGCACATCATCGGTTCTCACACTCAATCAATACGTTCTATCTGAGGGCAGGTCCAGAGCATTCTGATACTCATGACATCTTTCCATGTTATTTCTCCATTGAAAAATTTCATGCTATCCATTGGTTTCAGTTCATTTTGGTCATCCAAAGCACATTCTAATTATGCATTCAACAAGATAGTAAAAGGTTGCATTTTTGTGAATTAGGTCAACATTTTTGAAAAAGTATGTTGATTGGTCCATTGCCCCTTCAATATCACTTAGGTCTGATAAACTAAATTATCATTATATATACTTTTCTTGAAGACAATGAATGGATCTAAAAGATACACCCATGTTCATGATCGGAAGATATTCATAATTCAAGTTAGAATCGTTTGAAATTGTTTGCGATAACATGCGTGCTCATTGAAAAATGATTTTTCAGCTATCGTAAGTTGAATTCTTACGGAAAGTGATTTTTGAAAATATTCATAATTCAAGTTAGAATCGTTTGAAATTGTTTGCGATAACATACGTGCTCATTGAAAAATAATTTTTCAGCTATCATGAGTTGAATTCTTACGGAAAGTGATTTTGAAATTAGCAGCCATCTTGCCATTCTTGGAAATTTCTTCCAGAACAGAGGTACCTTTCCATACCAGCCTAAAAATTTGAACAATGACAATAACAACATTAATCGGTTCATTTTTATAATATTAATAATTAATATAATTTTAATTATATTTAGTAACATTTTCCACTATTACGCAATTTAATGTTCTATTAAACGTTAATATGAATTAACTAACTGACAGCAACTTTAATTTACAATCTTGAAAAAATAAAACTATAAGTTTTCTCTAATTATATTATCAAAATCCTAACTTTTTTCTACAATAATATCCAGGCAAAACCTTTTTGAAAAGGTTTAAGATCCATCAGATACGTTAATCGTTGGGGCCTGCCTTATTTCATTAATCAGACCATAACTTTTATAACTTCTTGCACACGTATCAATATTTGGTTCATTCCTTACAGAGAGCAGTCCTTCCTTCTTATGTTTCAGAAGACAATGACCTATTGAGGCGTTACAATCGTGCACCTTGCTGACTAGTTTGGCCATTGTTCCGGGCCTTTTACCTGTTCATAGGAAGGGGGAGGGGGCAAATGTGCATCTGCAAAAAAAAGAATAAAAGGGTTGCAATCAGTTCTAAGAATTCTGTATTTTACATCATATATTTTTTCAATACCACATCTAAATATAAGCATGAAAAAATGAAACCGTCAGCAACTTTTGGGTTTTCAAATCTCTAAATCGCAAAAAAAGATTAATCTTCGATCGATTTGTGACTAGATTTCACATTCTGATACTCATAGCATCTTTCTGTTTCACCTGAGAAGAAATGAGATGTCATGGTTTATCATTATGAGATTTCAAGGAAAATTACGCTTAGCTTTGAAACAGAAAAATCCAAATTTTTTCCCCAAAAAAATATTTCTCATTTTTAGGTTTGGCAGTCAAAGCAATGAATGGAGTACACATTAGTATTTAACTCGTAACTCTTAAACCACATCGATAGGCAAAAATAGCATGAAAATGTATCACATTTCTAGATGAAAATATTGAAACAATATTCTAAAGGTTCTGACCATAGGCAGCGGGTGAGGTAGTTGTGTTCCCTTGTGGATGTTGCTGTTGGAATTGGGTCTGACCTCCATGTGCGCTGTATATATGGCTTGGATATTGAGTTGAATGGTAAGGGGCTATGCTTGACATCCCTTGTTGTTGTGAAGATACACCTGACATACCCGCTTGTGAATATGGGGTCATACCTGGCCCTCCTGGTTGTGGGTACGGAGTCATACCTGGCCCTCCTGGTTGTTGGTATGGAATCATACCTGGCCCGCTTGGTTGTGGGTAAGGAGCCATACCTGACATGCCTGCTTGTGGTGGGTAACATGGGTAAGGAGCCATTTCCAACACTCCTTGCTCTGGATATGATCCTGGTCCTGACTGGGGAGGCAGGGTAGCCCCTTTGGGGTACGACCCTGCTGGTCCTGACTGGGGAGGCAGGGTAGCCCCTGTGGGGTACGACCCTGCTGGTCCTGACTGGGGAGGCAGGGTAGCCCCCGTGGGGTACGACCCTGCTGGTCCTGACTGGGGAGGCAGGGTAGCCCCTGTGGGGTACGACCCTGCTGGAGGTGTGGTTGCTCGAGGTGTGCTTGCTGCAAACAAATAATAAAAGTTCAAAGAACCATATTCTTTTAATGATTGTTATGAGAAATTATGGATTGAATACGGAGCTTTCCATACAAACTGTCACCTTATTGACAAACTTTTTTTAAATCATCTCCAGGTTTTCAGGAGTCCACATCTGACCTCAAATTTGGGATTTGACCTTTGGTTGTCTTGACCTTCAAATTGTCAAAAGTGCCTATGAGGGCCTCCGTGAGATTGCTTGCAGTCTAGTTATCTAATAAGACTGAAGACTAAGAATTTGATAGGTTGACGGTTGTATAAAGTGAGATAAACTTTGAGACATACCTATTGTTGAACTATTCTGAGCTTTTTGCTTACAGACGCAGCAACATATAGTACTTGTGATGATTATAAGCACACCCGCTCCAATCCCTACCCCCAGCACAGCACTGAAACGAGGAAGAGTAAACTTTAATTTGATCACTCATACAAAATATATACAAAAATAAAATATGATACATGACATTAATAACCTGGGCTGGTAGATGGCATGATACAATATTAGATCCCGCTGTGTATTTTGATATTTGAGTGAATGGTGATGATGTATATAGATGCATGAGTTATGGCCTAGTCACATAGCCCGGCCGATGAGGTTACGATGAGCCAGCGATGCAATTTTCACCGAACTCGGCTGAACACCGGCCGGACACCGGCCGGACATCCGTGGCGTTTGTTGCTTAAAACCGCATCGGTGGTAGCTCGGTGAAATTTTAACTTCGGAGCTCCCTCATCATGTCATCGCAGCCCCATCGTAACCACATCGGAAAACACGTCGGCCGGTGCACGGCCGAGTATCGGCCGGTGTCCCGTGCATCTGAGACAACCAGAGGACGAGGTTTTTTAACGGACAGCGGCCGAGCTCCGACCGAGCTCCGGCCGATGTGGGACAGAGCATCGGCCGGTCACTGTTCAAAGCCCGTTAACAACCCGCCCGGCGATCGCACGGTGTCCTGTTACCTGCTCGGGTACCGGACTACCGGCCGTATTCCTTCCGATGTCCGGCCGACCTCCGGCCGGTAGTTGCTGCCACATCGGCAGAAAAAAACTACCATTTTAGAGACAGACTCCGTACGGTCACCGGCCGGTGTTCGGTCGGTCGCCTGAAGATGTCCGGACGGAGTCCGTTCACGTCACCGAGCTCTGCTTCCGATGAGGAGAGCTCGGTGGCACCAAAAAAATCCACCGAGCTCTACCGATGCCGGACATCGGCCGGGCTATGTGACTAGGCCTACCTAACTTAATAACGCAAATGCGAGTAGGTAGTTACCAGTTTCACCACCAGGTGGCTCGTTCGGGTCAGATAGCACGGCGGGTATAGTAGAAAGTTCCCTTTAACCTGGATTACATCTGTTTTCTTGGTTCAATTTTCATATAGCCCTTGTGTATCGAATAGTTGGGCATATTAAAGTATGTCCAGTAGATGAAAATGTTAAATGTCCAATACAAGAAAAGATATTTCACTTTTTGTGATTTTGTAATATGGGGTCTATGGGGAATCAACCCGAACTAGAAGTCACATTTTCAAAAAAGATTAAATTTTCAAAGTTGATAAACAATTTTCGAAACCATATTTTTAGATGTATTTTTACATGTAGATTTCAAATATGACATCACTTTGACTGAATTTTGAATATTTAATGGCGTAAATCAAGATTTTTTTCTACTCGCATCTAGTCTATTGTGCTAGAAATCACTTAGAAATGGAACATTTCAAGCATTTATATCAGGTTCTTATTCTGACGAATAACAGATTTACATGATCATGGCGATGGCGTATCTCAAGGCTTTGCCTGAGCACATGCCTTATTCACGTACATATCTCATATGATATGATATGATATCTTCTCAAGATGATAAAATTGTTTATTTTTGTGATGGCACAAATATTTCTCTTTTTGAGAACGTTTCTGAATGGTTCAAAAATAATATGATATCACTTAACAAAGGGAAAACTAGACATGCGTTATTTAAAAGTAAATCAAGTTTTGCCAACGATATAAAGAATGCATCGATGAAACATCAAGATAATAAATTATCTAGCCATGCGCTTAGTATTTACATTGCTGTATCTCCATCCTAAAATGAAGATAATCTAAATGTTGAAAATCTTGGAAAATCAAAGTTCTTGATGAATGAAAAAATATTTCAATACAGGCTCGTAGCCAGGATTTGCTTACATTTTAATAAAAGTGCTAAGAATGGTGAAAAACTGCATGATTTTGAAAGAATCAAGGGCCTGCAATGAAATACGTTTTCAAACAGTATTTTACTACAGGGTGTCCAAAAAAACAGGACCATAAGAAAGTTGAATAACTCGGTCAATTTTGCATATTTTGCAATATATTTAGTTCATTCAATGTGAATTTTGTTGTGAAAGTTTGATAATAATCTACCAATTGAGTCAAGAACTACAGCACCTTACAAAACATGCCCCAAATGTGCAAATCTCATCTCTATGCACAATAACCCAGATGCGAGTAGAAATAATCTTGATTTACGTCATTAAAAATTCAAAATTCAGTCAAACTAATATCATATTTGAAATCTACATGTAAAATTACATCTAGAAATGTGGTTTTAAAAAGTGTTTATCAACTTTGAAAAATTAATTTTCTTTGAAAATGTGACTTCTAGCTCGGGGAGATTCCCCATAGACCACATGCTATAAAATCACAAAAAATGAAATATCTTTTCTTTTAGTGGACACATGATATTTTGCTTTACTGGACATATTTTCATTAGCATAAGTATCAGACGCATAAGGGTTATATGAAAATTGAGCCACTTAAATTGATAATATTCAAGTTTAAGGGAACTTTCTCATATACCTGCCATGTTAATTGACCCGAATCAGCCACCTGGTGGTGAAACTGGTAACTACCTACTCGCATTTGGGTAATTCAATCTGGCGAACAAAGCTGTTGATGATCCTCCTACACACATGTCTTTCTAAATGGACAAGTTTGTTCCAAGAACAATTGCTACTGGGGCTTACATCCTCCTGATGAAGTGTTACAGCATCCATTGCATTCTGAACAATGCACTCCCTGGGTGGCAATGAGGAAACATGGAATCATCAGTCCCTTTTGGTTCGAAGATGACTGGGGACTTTCTATCACCATGAACAAGGACAAGTAAGTTCTCACCAAGTTTTGGAGGTCACTAAGCACCAGAAGGGACATCTAAGGAGATAATTAAGCAGTGGTTTCAACAAGCCAATACCACCCCAACACTGCAAATGATATGCTGAAATGGTTTAGGCAATGCTTTGGTGGTCAGCTCATCAGTTGCAGAACGCAAACCATATGGGCAGCTCATTCGCCTGATCTAAATCCCCCAAATTTTTATCTTCGAGGATTTCTCAAAGCCAATGTGTATACTAACAGGCCCCTAACAATCTTAAGAGGGCAATAAATTCCCCAATATTTACCATCCACATTAATGTGTATAGGTAAGGGTCATTAACAACTTTGTTCGCAGGATTCGCTTGTGCATAGAGAGGAGAAGTGCCCACTTTGAGCATGTTTTGTAAAGGACTGTAGTTTTCGACACAATAAACAGATTATCATCAAACTTTCAGAACAAAATTCACATTGAATGAACTAAATAATTCTTAAATTTCAAGGCAAAATATGCAAAATTGACCGAGTTATTCAACTTTCTTACGGTCCTGTTTTTTTGGAACCCTGTAATAGCCCTTTTTAATAATTGCATTATACTACTGTATTATATGATTTCAGAAAACTGTATGCATCTCTATGAAATAAAAACTGAATTATGTTTTTCGTCATAATTTTGATGTATTTCTTGTACCCTTTGCATTCGTTCGACTTTGCTTCTCAAAAAGAGCTTCGTCTTCGGTCGTTTTGTTTATAACTAGACTCTGCGCGCAGGGTATATTTCTTGAATTTCTCCACTATATAATCACGCGGTCCTAATAGTACAAGATCTTCGTCGTCCAAAAGTATCATTTTGTTTGAAATGATGAAGAAATCGTGAATCCGCTTTGTATGATGAAACAACTCTGTATTGCAATAAATTTTATCCGCCCGAGCAAGTTGAAGGTTGGGTATTACAAGAGGAAATTAGGGTAGACCCCCTCCCCCAAATTATTTGGGGGGCCAAAATGAATTTTTTTGTGGGCACTTTATATAACCTGAGTTCCTCATAACTATACCCAAAATGGTCAGTTGATATAAGTTCACTATTTAATAGGCATTTTGCAGAATATTTTAGATTTATTTGTGATTTTAAGCATTTTACTACCCCCAATTCAATTTTGAGTATATTTATTTTCAAGAATATTCCCTCATAACTTTTGTTTTAGCACATTAATGCCAATCAAAAAAATCCACAACTTTGCTCAAGTACCATTTGATAGAGCCAGAAAGTATGAAAGTGATGTGTCCTTGTAATGTTGAGAGAATAAATCCCAACAAACCCATCCCTTCTTCACCAGTGGGAGGGGGTAAATATGAAAAAATATTTTGTGAGTACATTATTTGTTCAAAATCTTTTTATTCTGCCTAAGCTGGTCAATTAATATTAACTTCACAATTTAATAGGCATTTTGCAGGATATTTTGGATTTATTTGTGATTTTAAGCATTTTACTACCCCCAATTCAATTTTGAGTATATCTGTTTTAAAGAATATTCCCTCATAACTTTTTTTTAAGCACATCAATGCCTATGAAAAAATCCACAACTTTGCTCAAGTACCATATGATAGGGCCGGAAAGTATGACAGTGATGTGTCCATGTAATGTTGAGAGAATAAATCCCAACAAACCCACCCTTCTTCACCAGAGGGGAGGGGGTCAATATGAAAAAAATATTTTGTGAGTAAATCATTTGTTCAAATTCTTTTTTATCCTGCCTGAGATGATCAATTAATATGAAGTTCACTATTTATTAGACATTTTGCAGGATGTTTTGAATTAATTTGTTATTTTAAGCCTTTTACTACCATCAATTCCATGTTGAGTATACCTCATTTCAAGATGATTCTCTCATAACTTTTGCAATAGTACATTAAAGCCTATGAAACAATTCCACAGCATTGTTCTAAAATCATTCCATAGATCCAGAAAGTATGACAGTGATGTGTCCTATTTATTTTGAGATAAAAATCATAACAGCCTCACCCCTTCTTCAACAGAGGGTAGGGGTCAACATGAAAAACTATCTAGTGAGTATATTATGATTTGCAAACTCTTTTTTTTGTCATGCTTAAAATGGTCAATTAATGTACAGTTTGCTATTTATCTGACATTTTGAAAGATATTTGGAATTTACTTGTGATTTTAAGCTTTTTACTACCCCCAATTCAGTGTTGAGAATACCTATTATCAAGAATATTCAATCATAGTTTTTTTTGTATCGCATTGATACCAATGAAAAAAATCACCAACATTGCCATGATTGCTCAAGTATCATTTGATAGATCCAGAGAGTAAGACAGTGATTTGTTAGATCAATATTGAGAAAAAAATCACAAGATCCCAACCCATTCTTCAACAGGGGGTAGGGGTCATTATGATAAATGAAAAAGTATTTTGTGAGTACATTACTAGTATTTGTGCCAACTTTTTTATCATGCCTTAGATGGTCTGTTCATCTAAACTTCCCTTTTTGTAGGTATTCTGCAGGGTATTTAGAATTTATTTGTGATATCAATCTTTTTAAGCCCCCCCCCCCTCCCTCTCCAAATTCAATGTTGTGTACATAATGGAATCCAATGAAAAAATTCTTATATTACATTACTGATATATCATTTTATAGATCCAGAAATTATGACAGTGATGTATCTAGATAATATGAACATATATGTTCATATAATCATTACTCCACCCCCATCAACCTGGTGTCAATGGGGGGATTTAATAATGAGTCATACATGCACATACATTACCTACTGTATTGCATCAACCATGAGATTTCTACTACTATTATTAGGTACGTCTATTAACATATTGTTCAAAAACTGATCCTTGTGTGGGGGTCCCTTGAGAAATGTACAATTTAATTTGATTTTTACCTCCATGATCTTCTAAGGTATTATCATACTCATAAAAATCATCATACACTATGGCCAATCATGGTATTCTGTGCATCTTATGGTGGATTTAAACAATGAATTGATTCATCCTCCTTGCAATTAAATAATATGGTTGCAGTATTTCTATGGTAAACTTTGACCATGAAAAAACCAATGGCCTCGAAATGCCATGCTACATTAACATAAAGCTGTTTGACTATGCAAGTATAAGACTGAGAGGAACAAAACATGTTTAATTTGAGGCACAGTTATGGTAAATTGCAAATTTTCAGGGTATTAGCATGTAGTTTACTATTTATTTTGCTAGCTTGATAAACTAGATCGCTCAAATTGATTTAAGAAAACGTAAGATTGTCTCTTGTTAAATGAGTGAAACAATAATTTCAAAACCAGTTTCTCAAGACATTCAGGGAGAGATTGTTAACCCCCCCCCCCCCCCTCTGCACACACTGAATAGGCAAAATCTTTTTTCTGCATCATCAATATTTGTTATAATATGAAATCACTTTGGACATAAAGATTCATATTGAACCTTTTTTAGCTGAATTTTCTTGATTAAACATCAAAAGATTTTAGAATAGTGATATATCCTCAAAATTAATGTTAACAAAACTTGAAAAGGTGAACATAAAATGGTTAAAATATCAATTTTGCAATAAGCAACTATATACCTATAATAAACACATATTACTAATTTTATGATCATTACCTAATAGTATCAGTTATTTCATGAAAATCTGGGAAAGAGTCAAAATATTTCCTTGGAGTTTAACTCCCCTCCCCCCGGACCCTCTCCAGAGGTGGGAGTAAAACATAAATTTTGGGGCAAAAAGTGTGCGAGAAACTTGCTCAGATGGATTTTTCATCTAAAATCAAAATATTTATGAAATTTAATGGCTTAATTTCTGCAGGAATTCAAACAAGAAAGAACATGAAGATCCTGGACTACCTCCCCCCTCCTCCCTCTTGCTTCTTGGCTTAGTTGGCTAAGAATTTTTCCTCTATTAAATGATTCCTATTTGAAATTCATTGAGCTTATAGAATGATATCAGAGCTCACTCAATAAAAATGTAAAGATCTTAGAATTATGACAAAATCCATGTTACCAACAAGAATCACTAGACATTAAGTGATCAAAATATTGGTAATAAATTATAAAAATACTGAAAACAATTTTTGATATATCTTCTAATTGAATGAACATATTTCATGGTGATATTATGAAAAACTGTTCACAAAATATATTTTTTGCTTTGCCCCCCTGCTACCCCTTGGGGTGGGGGTAAAACATAATTTTATGGGACAAAAAATGACCCATGAATTTGCTCGGGCAGATTTTTTCATTTGAAACAACCAATACATTCATAAAATCACAAGATTCGAACAAAAAATAAGAGAAGTGCTTACACTAGGGACAATATACTTAACCCCCTCCCCCGCTTTTGCTTCTTGGCTTACCGGTCAAACAATTTTTTCTCCAATATTAAGGATTCCTATAATTTGAAATTTGTACGACTTATGGAGGCATACTAGAGCTCTCTTCCTGATTTTTTCCATCAATAAATATTGAAAGATCTTATAATTATGACAAAATATCTTCAAACTCCATGTTACCAACATTGTTAATTACTGAACATTAAATAATTAAATTATTGATTTTACTAATTAAGTAGGCTAATATGAACAAAAAACATCGAAAACTGCTTTCTATTATATTTACTTCTTGAATCAACTTGTTTTATGTTGTTATATGGAAAGCTTTTCTTGAAATAATTTTTTTCGCTACCCCCTAGGGGTAGGGGCAAAACATAATTTTCAGGGACAAAAAAATGACCGACAAACTTGCTCGGGTGGATTTTTTAATTTCAAACAATCAATATATTCATCAAATCATAATGGCTTAATTTCTTCATCGTTTCGAACAAAAAAATGAAGAGCCAAAACTATAACTTCGACCGTTAATTTGAATTTTTGACCTACCGGATGTTTGAAAATCAAAGATTACGAGTCTCATACTGCACCGTTTTTCTTCAAACTTGTTCCATTCAAAGTATAACAAAATCCTTTTCTGATTATACATTATTCTCTTAAACAGAGTCTCTACTTCCAGCGGTATTTTGGTCCCCAGCTGTAAAAAGGCCTTCTAACAGCTGGGGACCAAAACGCTGGTTGAACGAGGGACTCTTTACAATAAAGAAATGCACCGACAGAAAGGCAATTTTGTTTTTCTTTTAATGGTTTATAAGTTTGAATAAAAACGGTGCAGTATGAGACTCGCAATCCTTGATTTTCAAGCATCTGGTAGGTCAAAAATTCAAATTAACGGTCGAAGTTGTACCGCGTGATATTATCTTTGTAGACTTACCCATATTTTTGTTCAAATGTGCAGCATTTGTAACGATTGTTACTTGTCAATTGTAACTCACAACAATATTTTTTAGAGTAGTCACAATAAAAATTGAACATGTCTCCATCACATGGACAATCAAATCCTCTCAAACTTCCGGATGAGGGTTGGCAATATTCACTGGATATACCTGAATCATAAAAAAGCATTACATTATTCCAAGAAAAAAGTCCATGATTATTTGTTGATGTGTTATATTCACTTTCGAATACAAAGAGGTTAAAGAGAGAATCAGATCTAGCGAGCAGCCTAACAAAAAATTGTTTCAATTTTAGAATATTTCTGGCTCATGTCATGATCATTCCTTTTCATGTATATTTTCTAAAAATACCTAAAGTGCACAATTTATTTCAGGAAAACTCAAGATTTTTACAATAATGTATTACTTTTCTGTAAGAATGCAAGAATGGTTACCACTTTTATTATTTGGGAGAATTTAAATATTTTCACCCATTTTAGCACTTTGAATCCCTTATAACTTCACCAATTTATAACATATCATGAATCTTTTGGGAGATATTGTATCTGAGATTGTAAGGAATAGATTGGTAGGTCAATTGTACATGTTGCTTGTAATTTTGTCACCCCAATAGATCTGATTCTGCCTTTAAAAATTGTAGACTGTAGAATTGTAAAAGTTGGGAAAAGTGACAACTCCCAAGACATTTTAATATAGAGTTTGAGGGTAGGTTTTGTTTTAATTAGGCTGATACAAGTAGAGGCTAGATTTTTACAATCATTTGTCCAAACAGACGATCTCTGGATTCCGGTCTTGTGTGAGGCTAGATATAGGCCTAGATAAATGCTCGCTATCTAAAGGTGGAACAAAGTTTTCAGGGATGGTAAAACAATCAGGGTAGGGGACATGGAGTAAGAAATGGCCTGCAAGACAATCATTCAAATCTCTTAAGATATATTTTCTAATGTTTCAATCCATCCAAAGGTTAACAAGAAACAAGTTCCAAATGCATTCTACAATCTAAGATGGCGTCTTACCAATCGGTTTAAAATGGAAATATCATCGAATGGCGAATACAGGCAATACATGCATTCAAGGAAGACATTTTCTTCCTACCCCAGATTTTGATAATTTTTGGAGATGAAATGGCAGGCAATCATATTGTGAGACTTTACTAGATTAGTCTAGTATTTTTCAAATTTCGATCAAAGCTTAGATCTTTTCTACAAGAGTTTTAGTTACCCAAATCCACTATTTTAAGATTGCATGCTCTAGCCATTATTCATTTCGTGTTGGTAACGGCATTTCGGCCTAAACATTTTAACAATAGACTATACTAGCCTTGGAAGCTTACATTGTGAATTGAATTTCAATTTGGTCACTATATTTTCAGTCCGACTACGTCAGGCCGTATTTACTCCACGATTCCTATGAAAGTACACTTACCAGTTATAAAAACAAAAAGAACAGTACTCCATGATACTATCGTCATTGTTGTTATCTATTTCATTTTATTCAACGTATTTCTCTGAATTGAAACAAATTAAACTCATATTAGCAGCCGCTTGGAAGTTTCACATCAAGAACATGTCGTAGTCTTGAAGAATTACTCGCTAAAGCGATATACAGGGACCTGTCATTCTAGAGATCGATCATCTTCTACAAAAGGGCCAAATGACCAACTCCGAACTCCGATCATAAATGTTCAATTCATCATAAATCCGGTATGCGGTTACGGATTTTTAGATACGCCGAGGCATTAAATCGTTGTACGGAATCTCTCCATACATTCAAACATGGACCACTTTCAAGACTTTACAGACTGAATGAAAGTCTTTGATTTGACGTTTTAAGTGCACATTGACTCAAAAATCTCCCAGTGAGGTTTCCAAGCAGATTTATGGACACATAATCCTACAAATTTAAAAATAATTTACGTTTGATTACGACTGTAAAAGTTATGTTTTTTTCTTATTGCATATGTGTACATTGTATGTGTAGTAGCCATTTTGTCAAATACGACTGATGACTGAGTTACTTTGTCATTCAAGTCTAATTATCATCTGCTGGAAATAAAGAACCATAGCATGCCATACCATATAGAAAAGCAAAGGTGTAAGGGATTGGAGTGTGTTCAGTCAAAGGACAATATTGACAATAATTACCATGTCAATTTTTGAGTTGAATATGTGAGGCATTACAATGATAACGTCATAATACTTCCAATATATGTTATCCGTTGTGACGTCTCTTAACAACCGATGAGACTGAGGAGATAAAACAACAACATTTGATACTACACTGAAGAGATGACATGGCAGCATCGAAAATGAAAAACAAATGTATTTGCCAAATTTGTACTTGTGGGTAAGGACAATTTTCTTTTTATCAACCACGAGACTGTGTATCAACTTTATAATAATTCAGTATTGAACAAGGTCATTAGTTTCACCGCGGCAGGCAGTTGGTTACACTAGTTATGCGTGACCGGCTTGAAGTAAAAAGTTTGGAAGTTTGGAGTGTGGGGGTTCGGCTAGAACTAAGGGGAAACTAATCAAAAATACATCGTTAACTGCATATATATAAGTCTGTACTTATATCTGTATCATGTAATCGAGAAGCATTTATATTAGCAGTTATGTTATTTTTGAATAAATATAGTATTAGGGTTTGGGTAAAAGGCGTTGGATGTTGGGCGTGGGGTCTACAGGGTGCTCAAAAATCGTTTGGATAAGAGGGCGAGGGGGCTGTTGTTTTTAGCTGTAAAGCGCGCCTTTGTTTTTTTTATAGGGTACCCAGAAAATTTGAAAAAAAATCTTATTTTTTCATTGACCAATACACCTTGAAAGAGCCCCGAAAGCACCAAAAAGCATCTTTCAGAAAATGGAAAGAATTGTAAAAATTCTATTGTAAAATTTTCTAGGGGGAGTGGGCCAAAGCATTTTTAAGCACCCCGTATAGTAGACCCCACGCCCAACGTCGAGATAGACGTCCTTGCATAAACCCATAGTATTCAGAGGCGTAGCTAGACCATTTTCCAGAGTACGCCCGTCAGATTTTTCAGTGTACGCCTATGTCTACAGTAAAATTTTAAATGTTTGGAACTACTTTGAATTTAAAAAATAAGCAATCAAATGACTATATTGCAACAGTATATAAAAAATAGAAACATTTGTACTTGTCCTAACTTTTGTTTATTTCGGATAGTTATATATAATGTGTAGTAAAGCGGTGGCCTTCTGTAATTTAGGGAGTTTCCGCCATGTTAATTTTTCCGAAAATAACATGGCAAAGAGAAGCATCAAAATATAAGAGGCCAAATATATGATAGCTAAACTACAAAACAAACAAAATATACAAAAGTTAGGACATGTATAAATGTTTCTATTTTTACATATACTGTTTCAATATGGTCCTTTGATTGCTTATTTTTAAAATTCAAAGTAGTTCCAAACATTTAAAATTTTACTGTATGTCTATGTCAATAATCTGCAAAAGGCTAATAAGCCCATATAAAGCAGATAATTTCAACCATATAAGCGAGACATTTAGCATGTAAAATGTAAAATCATTCAATTTTCTACTTAGAAAGTATTTTTAATAAATGTTTTGCTGAATAGATATTCCAAAATCTGAGTTGCCCCTAAGCCACCATTCCCCATTTGTTTAACATGGGATCTGCCATTTTTGTTACATTTCATGAAATGAAATTCATCAATTTTGACATCAAATTTTGACAGAATGTAATGGAGATATAACATTGAAACGTTGCGGACTTTATAGGGAATAGAATCAAGATACAGATTTATTTACTTTATTGGGATTTCTTTTGTTCATCGCTTAGAAAATAGTCGTTAAACAAATATGGGGGTTAACATGTAAACCTATGAGGTCCTTAACTTTTTTTGAGGAGTATATATAATTTAACAGTGATAGAATTTGAATAGAACATAATTTAAAACCTTGACATTTAAAAATAGATCTATGGTTCACACCTCATTTTAAAATTGAAAGGAACCTTCCTGGTTGGCCCCTGTACCCCCCTAGAAAGTCCCTTCATGTTGAAATACCCTGAGACGACTGTCAGGCTACCGCGTTAACATCTACCCTCTTTACCAGTAGTGCAGGCTTGTTGCTATGCACTGGGGACTGGGGACTATGCCTTTTACATTAAATCATAGATCTATATTAAAAACACACCTATTTAATTGCAGTTAACGCCCGTCAGACTTTCCTGGTAGATCCCAAGGTGATCAGATGATTTTGGGATGATTGTGTTTGTGTTTCACCTAGCTTGCTAGGCCATGATTTTTATTTTTGACCCGATCTTAATGTTTTTGCAAAATATTTGTTTTTTATCACAAATGAGCTGGAAAATTTTATTTTATTTTAAATGTGAGAGTACGCCTGTACTTGGCGTAAACTACGTAGCTAATTAAGCCACTGGTAATGAAAAACGTCTATGCCATCAAACCCTCGTGATGGAGTTCGGTATCATCCTATATATTACTATTAATAACATATATACTATATAATAAATATATAAATAAAAAATAATACACAGTCACCACAAGCGGATCTAGACGGGGGCGTGGGGGGCGCACGCCCCCCCCCCCCTAAAAAGTCGGAAAATTCGTGTTTTGCATCATTGCTTTTTACAAAATTTGAATCTTTTTTTTAATTCGCTCACAGTTATCATCACACGCCCCCCCTCCCTAACACAAAATCCTGGATCCGCCCCTGGTCACTACATTATATCATGGGCTTTCAACTAGATTGAATGCCCATGATTATATGTTGATTTAATACTGAGATTTTATATACATTTCCAGTCTTGGAGGTATTAAATGTTAAATCAAAATGTACAGCGTGTTACATGTGCTTTTTAGGAGACACCGTTGTCCTCATAATAGAGGTAGTTTAAAGAGTATTCCAGATACATCTGGGGACTGTAAACTTGCGTCTGAATATCAAGAGGTATGTTTTGTCATAGCCTTGCCCAAGTCGGTATTTTTTACTAATCTGATCTTGAATCATCATTACCATAATAGAAATCAAGATAAGTAAAAGAGACCGACTTGGGCAAGGCTAGTTTTGTCATTGTATCGGATATGCATTTTTGTCTTGGTCACTGATGTCATGATATTTACTGCCCATAGCCAACAAGCAGATTATGGAGACGTTGAATACCAAAGACCAAAACCATCAGTACCTCTTCTTTGGGACTTACCCCCGGGAACTTTCCCCTTTTGTTAAGATCCGTCCGTCGCAAATTGGTCTAATGTGATAGGAAAGCCCTCTGGATTTCTTTCTATGAATGCATTCTGCTGTGATTCTGACAACCCTAACCCCAACCGTCCATAACCCTAACCCTAATAAAAACCCGCACTGGACGAAAGGCTCGGAGACTGTGATTCTGATTGACAAAGCGACATCTATCAATAGAGTTATTTTTAATTCGTAAACGAAGAGTTTCCAAACGTTTGAAGTGTTATAATTTGTAGCATTATTTCGATAAAACAATGCTCATACCAATTGACAAAATTAATGATTACTAAGATGCATTACATATAAAACATAATTCAATTACACTCAAATTATGTCATTCCGTCCGATATATTATTGATATAAAATAAATAGCAGAGTGATACTAAGAAGGGGCTGTAGCTCAAGTGGTAGAGCGCTCGCTTAGCATGTGAGAGGTACCGGGATCGATACCCGGCAGCTCCAATCTTTTAGATAAATATTTTTTTACATACATGTTATACTGGCGGCAGTTGAGAAGCAGGCTCAATTCAAGTCAAACATGCATTTTCGGCCCCCTAAAACCAAAAGTTGGGGCCTTTTAAAAATCTAAGGCCCACTGGATTATTTGGCATGAAATTAAAAAATAAGGCCCCAAAACGCCAAGTAACGCCCTAATAGGCCCACTAATTGAGGACTTACAAAATTGTTGGACCCCGTATAGCCACCCTGGCTCTGCCAGTGCGGGCCTATGGGCACGCCGCACAAGATAATTTTAGGTTAAAAATGTTTAAATATATTTCTGTGAAATCCTGGCGAGGCATCATAGCAGTCCTTTGTCCATTTGTCTGTTCAAGTCAATTTTACAGTTGTAAAAATCTTGCCTCGCCTGATCATGCCTTTAAGCTATGCTTGTAAACTGTATACAACCTTCCCATTTATCCATTGAGTTACATGTAATATAAATGTAGTAAATAGGGATTGTGTATTTTACCTTCCATACCGAAATGGATTTCATGCAAGAGAAATTAAATATTAAAAACAGACCCTGCAAGGTGGTTGGGTAGGTAGAAATTCACCGAAGTAGGAGAGGTAAATTACACAATCTCTTTACACAGTTGATTCAAAAAATGATTTTTATTACAGAAATTTGAAGGTATGGACTATCAAAAGCCTAGAGAAGCCATACGTCCAACAAAAAAAGAACCAAGTAGTCCAGTACCAATGGATATGACAACTATGTACACAGAAACATTTGTCACTCACGAGGTTATTTTTTTTTTTAATATACTGTACTATGTATTTTAAATGGGGGCTTTTGCCCTGTTTGAGACATGTGTGATGGCCCTGATCTTTGAAAGTTAGCTTTAGTGTCCTGTTTGAGATTCCCTATTCTTACAATTGAAAATGGATTCTACCACCAATTCTCTCCTTCGTGACCTACTTGTTGAGACTCAGAGGATTTCAGCAAGGGTGTATATTGACTAACATGGGATATGCAGCTTTTAGTTAATTGTATCTCCATGTTAAGTCAATGTATCCTTGCTGAAATCCTCATTTTCTCAGAAAAACTCAAGTTGATCAAGTCTCAACAAGTAGATTAATGCCGCGGGGGAATATCGGTAGAATCCATTTTCAACAGTAAGAATAGGGGTTCTTAAACAGGAAATAGGGCATATAACTTTTTGTTGACTCTTCAATTAAGTAACAATGTTTTTGCTCCTTTTTACCAATTCTTGAGAATGAAATAAAATGTCTTTCCGAACCTTGTTGGAACAAAATAGCATATACAACATGTTTTTAGACCTCTCAATATTATAAAGGAATTTTTGGTTGATTTTAAAAAAGTATTCCAAAAATTAAAACAAAATCCCCCAAAATAGATAAAAATCGAGATAAACCTTTTATTTCATCAACAAGATACTTTTTTAAAATCAACCAAAATTTCCTTTGTACAATTACAATATTGAGAGACCTAAACATGTTGTGTTTATGTCGTTTTGTTCCAGTGAGGTTCGGAAAGATGTTTCATTTCACTCTGGAAATTAAACATGATACCAAGAACAAAACAAGGTTTGGTGTGTTTTAGAAAACAGTATAGATGAAAGTTTTTTTTTCAAATTATATTGTTACCATTCAAAAGATGACCATTAAATTGACGATGTGTTCAATTTTTAGATTTTTTTTAACTGGTTTAAGAGAAAAGTGTGTTCAAAAAGTTCTCAAACTCCTTTCCCCATAACGTATTAGTACACAGCTTGGCATATGAAATATCCTCCAAATGAATCAAAGCAGTTCTAATACAAGGATTTGTATCTGCAGTTGTACATGCATTCTTTGAACAATCACTCACTCAATAATGTTTTCAGAATCATTAAAAATAGATTACTTTATCTCCAAGCAAGACAATTTCAATAAACTGGATTTTACAAAACTCCCCTTATTTCTTAAAAATGGCTGATCCAGTTGACTCGCCTGGAGCCGCCATATTGTTTTTACATGGGAGGTTTATCGGAACCCTTTAAAAGCATAGGAGGAGGGGAACCCCAAAACTTTAGAGATGACACATAATTACCTCTTTTGGTTACCACATTTGTTTGCCCCTATTTCCACAATCTAGTTCCTGAATACCACACATCAATATGATGTTTTTAACTATGTAAACATATTCCTTATATTTTACGTTAACTTGACATGAAATTACAAGCTATAATATTGGTAAACACACCAGAAATTATCATTACATTATTCAAAGCATTTTTACAAAATTTTAAATCCTCTATTTTGTTTTTGTCATTTGACCAATTAGCAATGATACGTCATATCTATATCAACTTTCCTTTGAAGATAGGTCTTCTCTGAACTCTGGCATGAAGATTTCTGTCCTCTTAAAAGCGTATTGATTTTCAAATTAGGCTATCACCTTGAGTCAACCTTTGGCACAGCCTCTATTCAGACATGATAATCTGTCTCTCACAAAGGATCCGTACCCATTAGTGTACCTATAAGGACTTAGAACTTTTTCGAAAAGGTTAAATTGGAATTCCAGGATTATTCTTATATAATATAAATCTTTATGAAGTATATTTTCAACAAATCACAAAAATAATCTTTAGAATATAGTAAAAAGTTGTTTTTACAGTGATCCTTAACACATGTCATTCTGACTCTTAAAATGAGTAATTTTCTCAAAAACTTGAATAAAATCTTGAATTTTGTAGATACACTTAAATTGACTTGTCAGTATAAAACTAAATTGTGTCTGAGCATAATAACCTTAACTAAGCAGATCAACCATGCATAGATACTTTGTAATCCCATTGTTTTGAAAGGCACCCTATTGTGTTCTTGTTTCTAACTATGAATGACCTTCTCCAGTCACTGAGAGATTGAGGTGCTTCCGCAGGTCAGACCCCCTTTGATTTCACCTTTATTGTTTAGTATTGACATTATTGCATAGTTCAAACATGAAATGAGAGAGGGTCCTGGCTGCGGAAGATATACAATGTGAAAGTATAGCAAAAAATTTAGTTTCAAAAAGGAGGCCATATTGGATCTGCCAGACACCAAGGCAACAAACTATCAGACAAGTATCAAATAAGTCAATTTATTTTTGATTTATCAGTCATGCATGCTTCTGAAGAGGATACGTTGCAGAGGGACTGAATTGATATCCATTTAGTCATTAAAGGGACACTGTTTGTAAGGTAGTTCTCATGCTAATGAACACTAAAATGTTTTAAACAAAGAATCAAATGGGTCAATCTTCTTTTGATTCATCAGTCATGTCTATCTATTGAGATGATATGTTGAAGAGACACTGAATTAATATCCATTTAGCCATTAAAGGGACACTGCTTGTAAGATAGTTCTCATACAAAGTGAAACTAAAATATTTTACCTCATAATAATTATATGTTATACAATGGATAGATTAAAATACCTCCACTTGTTTGATAGCAAAACCATTTGACTTTATACCTTTAGCTTCAATTGAATTATTCTTTGAAAATGCCAAATAAATATATCATATATTGGAAAGTCACAACTAGATTTTTAATATTTGAGTTGAATACCTAGGTTTTGTGTTTTCAATATGTTGCCCTTTGTGTCCTACCTTTGATAATGATGTTTAATATATCCTCTAAATTGAATATCCTAGGTTAAACCTTCTGCATACCAACTGAGGTGATACTTTTGCTGAGATTCAAGATTAAGATTCATAGATGTACTACATTTTAGGGGTTGTTTTATGATTTGTGTTTTCAATATGTTGACCTTAGTGTCCTACCTTAATGATATTTTGATATATCGATTGATTGAATGGTCAATATACTTAAAATAGTCATGAGTGAAGACTAACATACCCCTAACATGATATTTAGAATGATTTGCATTGTCAAACTTAAATGCACTTAAAGACCTTAGTTTTAATCCGTATGACCTAATTTTGTTTTGGATGTGTTCATAATTTATAAAAGTAACTATTTCCATGTCACATTCAATGAAACCTTTGGGGGCACCTTTAGGTACATGGGGTAACGGATCCTTTGGTCTTACCAAGTTTGGTCAAAGACAAATTAACAAGTCAAGCAAATGCATTAGAAGATAGAATAGCTATCACAACTGTAATAAACATTTCTATGTCAAGCATTAAAATTATTTGCAGATAATGCCCAGAAAAATCAGAAGCAAGGAACAATTTGTGCCATCAACAACTCCAATGAACAAGAGGACGACATACAAAATGGACTACACAGCAAAGGTTAATATCTGACTTTGGTCACATATTATTATTTGTAAACAAATTTAACTCTCATTCAAAACATCCTTAATTGAAATAAATTACTTTAAAAGATGTTTTAGGAACACTCTATTGTCAAATGTGTAGTTGGTATATAATGCATTAACATTAGTACTTATCACATTAATTATTCTACTTAGGAGGGTAAGAGAACTAAATCGTATGCCCCAGAATACCAGTATGTTGAGAGACGTACAAAATTCAACAGTAGCACTATCCACAATACAGCTTTCAAAGGTTTCAATGAAGAGGACATGAAGATATGTAGACCAAGGACTATAAGACACAAGGAGAACCTTACTGCACCAGAGGAGAAGTTCAAATGTGCATCAACAGTTCAAGTAAGAATGGATCCAAATTACATTGCTATCACTGCTATAGTTACTAAGTATCATACATATCACAATACCCAATGCATAGAGTATACTGTAGATCTAAAAAATAGGTAGTGGTTTGGACAACTTTCAGTCTATGTTTAAGACCAAACATGTACAATATCATAATACACTGTATATGATTTTTCTATAGGATGATTACAAAGAGCACACAAATCTTGAACGCACCAAACCAATCATTCCAAAACAAGAGGGCTTCCAAGACCACAATGAGAAGTTTGATGATAGAACCATGTATAAAGACACATATGGCACAGAAAAACCATTGAGTGAACCACCAAAAAGTATGTCAAGAAATAATGACATATAATCTCAAAAAGACACTTAATTCCTAGTATCATTCAAATAGCCTATTCAAACCAAACATTCATATTCTGATAAAATGATCTACAATTATTTATACATCCTGTACCTCTATTTCTAAAATTGCAGGAATAAATTTATAAAACCCATGTTCTTTCTATTGTTTGTTGTTTAGAATATATAATAAAACTCTTATGATTCAGAGGAAATTCATATATATGATCATAAATTTCAAATACTTCAATAATCAGATCCTGACCCATTAGTGTTTGCAAAATGAACATGCAATTTTAGATTCCCCAGAGAATATCAACTGACATTTTTCCTTATTCCATACATATTCCTCCTAGGAATAAAGAAAAAAGAATCTACGCTGAAACCTGCAACATTCTTCAGTGAAACTACAGTTATGGCAGATTACAAACCACATGTGAATCCCAAACGAGCCAAGTGTTACAAGCCTAAAGTGAAGCCCATCAGTACTAAGGTTCCATTTGATGATCGTACAACATGCAGCATGGCATATAAAGAATGGGAAGTAAAAAAACATGTCAAGCCAATATGGGCCAACAAAAAGGCATATGATCGACCAAACATAATCTTCACAAAGCTAAGTTCATACCAAGTATGCAACATTATTAATGTACAGTAATTTCTGACACTTCCTGTATTTGGAGGTTATATAATAGGAGGTTTTGAATATAGAGTTTGTCCCTATTCATCCTTTACCTATAAAAAAGATACATTTACATTTCTGTATTTAGAATGAGAAGTAAACCTTTGTTTGCTTATTCCTCTGACGATTACTGTACAGCTTTTGCATTTCAAGTTAATCTCCCTCAAACCTTACTAAATATGCGATAAATTCTGGCCTTTCTATCAGAAAATATCTAACAGTAAGGATATTAAGATCACCCCAAACATAATCTAAAGTTATTTTGAAAATTAAATATTAAAAATCCTATACTTTAGGAAGACTTCCAAACACCAAAAGACTTTGAGAAAGCACTTTGCAAGCCAATAAAGAATGAACTGGAGATGGACCATAGCAAGAAAAAGGCCCCTTTTTGTATGACTACCCACTACCAGGACATGTTCACAGAGCTGGATGGAAAAAGACCTGACAGTTTCAAAGTGGTCAACATCTACAAACCTCCAAAGGAGAAATTTCAAGTTGAATCACATCAACAAAGCCAATATAAAGGTATCAATATTAATAAAAATCAAATTAATTATGATGACCAAAACCAAAATATTAACGAGCTCCAGATTCTTATACCCAAAATACCTCAACTCATCTTTTCTTACAATAGGGGCCTATATAGAACCAGCAATAATATGCCGCCCACCCTCCCAGAGTGAAAAAGTATCTCGTGGCAAGATGATATTTGACACCACCTACAGGAAGTGTTACACGGGAGAAAACTCAGTGAGTTGTCCAGTGTATGGACTCCCCTTAGAGGAGACAAACCAGCTAGGATCCCCAGTCCTCAAGACAAACACAAAGGACTCCAGACAAGGGGACAAAAATCCTGATGGCAAATCTGATTTCATTTTCACTATGACCCGTCATGGCCATAAATTCTTCAGCGATGTGAAATCCCCACAGAAAAATGCAATTTAAATGGAGTATTTTTAATTGATGCAGAGTGATCCCTATTTATGGGACAATTTGAGAATTTTATTATTATACAACTTTTACAATCCAATCTTATCAATTCCATGAAGAGTGGATAACAATAAATATTAGGACCTTTAAATTCATATTATGTGCAGGCTACCATACTCATAAGCCCTTTACCTAATATTTACAATACATTCTTAAAAACATTTATTTTCTGAAATCATAATTATAAGAAATGAAAGAGTTTTTAAAAATAAATAATTTACAGGTTTTGCTCTTTTATTCTGTTATATTCAATTAGATTCATAAATAAACATGACTTACAAAGAGGATCTATTTTATTATTTTCAAAAATGGAACATTTTATTTTTTTAATATCCTTTATAATATGTACATTTTTCCATATTTGGCTTGTCTGCCAACCTGTTTATGCTGAAAATGTATCAGACAGTATCATGGTACATTTGGTTTTCTCTGAGCTGAGCTTAACACATGGCCAAAACATGTGCTGTCTTAATTCTCTATTCCATCATTAACAACAATTTGTTACCCCAATCAACAACATACAGTTAAAAAAGTCACTACAATAGCAATTCTGTAAAAACACTGTTCACATCTTTGTTAATTAAGTTTGTACATCTATAAACTTTCTAAGCCCAGTTCATACCGTACACATACTTTAGCTGTATACACAATCCAGCTGTACAAATAATATGACTGTACACATACTTGGCCTATATATATTATCTGACTGTACATCAGCAGTCTCTAATGTATTCCCTGATCTACAGCAGGATGAAACATATTGGAGCTAGTCAATGCAGAAATTAAACTGATTTTAGCCACACCAAGATCAGCCTGAATGCAAAATATTACTCTATTCAAACACATGAAGAATATGGTTTGCTAAAAAGAACTATTAAAATCCAAATAATAACAACCCATTTAAGTTTGCTGCATTCTAAATGAAGCTGTTTCTTCAATATCTTATGAAGTTCTGAAATGTTATGAATACCAAAAATATTTTATCCGCCATTTTGGATGTAACTAACTGCAGTTTGTTCCATCCGGTTCTGGATCAGTGATATTGGACAATTCACTTTTTTCTTTGAAGTATTTCCCCACCATTGATTGAAACATTAACAATGTGAAAACCCATCTGTAATCATCCACAATGATGGAGGAACTATAACATATATATTTGTCCTCTTTAACTACTAAAATCTTACTGATAGAATCCAACTATTTTAGACCATTTGAAATTAACTGAATAAGTTGATGTTTGTCCCCACTCCCTAAAATATAAAAGGGATGTACCCTGGTTTATAGTTTTTCATGATTCAAATGATAATACAGGTGTATTTAAATAATTTAGCCAGGGAAAGAAATCTTTATCATATCCTTTCTAAACTTAATCAACATATAAGTAAGCCATTAATTATGCAAAACACTTCTGCAAGTTGAAATTGATAATACATGAAATAAAATAATTGTACAGGCCTAAGATGTTATCATTTACTTTATAACTGTTCAACATTTTGGATATTTGAGATTTCAAAGAAATATCCTGATGAATCCTTAGTATATTAGAGCATCAAACACAGAAGATTTAGCTGATTAATCTGTACAATTCCATTTGAGATTTTTCCAGACAAAGTTCTTTGAGAACTTAGTATAAATGGAAACCTAGGAAATGTCCATGTATGTACAGTTGTAAGTCTTGCATTTAATGCTTTCGTGATTTGTATTGCACACCTGGTAGTACCTCAAACACTAATACCTTTTTATGTACATAACTACTGAGTTTTCATAATTAGCAATACTTCAATTTACTTTTTTTTATCATTAACAAAATTTCAACCTTGTACATGTTGTGTTGTGGCTTGATAGTCATAAATACAAACCTTCTCATCATTGTTGTTCCAAGACTAGGCCCAACAATAATATGGTACAAGTATTTGTATATGGCTTCCTTCAGCTCCAGTGTGACATCTAAGTATTAATACAGTCCATGGTATCCATGACAATCAATTTACCTTATATTGAAAAAAACACCAAACATAATAACTATGTCTCCTTTTACCCTTTTAAAATTTTCCATAATCAATTATATCCTTTATATTAAGCTTCTTGTGATGTAAATTATACTGTTTTTTTGGTATTTCAATACTGTCAGAGCCTTTATTATATATGCAAGTTTATACATATCATCTCAGATGTATACTTGGTATGACTCCATGTTGGAGGTTTATACATATCATTTCAGATGTATACTTGGTATGACATATGACTCCATGTTGGAATTGGAAATAGCTTTGCCTACAAATATGACATCCACTCTCTGACATGACACAAACTTAAGTATTAGCTATCCATGTTATGACGGTATCCTATGCTTTTGTTAAAGCAATATTCCTATATTTCCAATTTTCAACCTCTTATAAAGTGCACCTTGTGTTATTGTGCTAAGTGGTATACCCAGGTAGAACTACATCCACACATGCTCAGCACCATGAGAAAAATGGGGCACGTTTTATAAAACTTTGTGTAAAGTTTGTGCTGTCGCTGGGTGTCCTTACCCTACCAGGGCCAAATCCTCCTTTCCGCTTCTCTACTATTACGACCGGCATTTGGACTAGTTGAACTGGAGATTTACCATCTTTCAATGCTTGAGTTAAATTCAATATCTGGAAATTAAAAATGTGTACAAGTAAACAGAACTAGAGATTCACAATAACAAAGTATACAACAGCAAAAAAATGTACAATAACATATAATGGTATAATTGTGCATAATTTTTACTAGAAACACAGAGGGTTTCAGTGGGTTTATCTTACCCCAGTTCTTTTATGAAGAGACCTTTGTGTTAATGAACATATCATTTCTAAATATATCATGATATCGCTCAGAATAATGAAAACTACATTTCACATTCAAATATGGATTAGGAGAGGTACACAAAGACTGCACTATCAAATTGCCTAGTTGAGAATTTCTCAGCTGAATCTTACCTGACCACGAACAACTGACATCTGTTTTTCAAATGTCCGTTTGTCAAAGCCTTTGTCTCTCTGCAACATATAAAATACCTTTAATGTCTAACTACCTGGTTAGATTACAGTATTATACACATAGATCTTGCACATTTTAGGCATTTGGAGAAATATCACCTCATAGCAGACTCTTATCAAACTTGACATTCTAATAAAAACACTAACAAAAATTCTATTTTCAGAGTAAATCATAAATTATAGCATATATGAAACTTTGAGTACTGATACAATACCAATGAGGAATAATTACTTACATGAAATAGTTCAAACAATTCATCGCAGAGATCCTGTACAAAGTTCATGTCAGATAATTGTGGAAGCACTAAATCTCGGATTTCTTGAGAGAATGGAATCTTAGCTTGTCCTAACCATGCCCAGTGATATGGGTCTAGAATGAAACATAACCTCGTGTAAGCTAAAAAGTGCATTATGTAAAGGGAAACATGCATCCAAATACATGTACACAGACTAAGATTGATGTTAATATACTACATGTATATCAAATATAAACAGGGGATTGTTTCTAAAAATATAGGATTCCTGATTCCTGTTAGTCTCCTTAAAAAAGATTGTTTGCCTGTTTATTATTGGATTGTTTGCCTATCTTAAAGCATTTAGCAAATTTCAAAAGGATTCATATCCATATAAGGTATTATAACTCACATGCTCTCCATTCATCTGGATGCTTGAAAGGGAATGCCAGGCCATTGTCTATTGCAGCAATTGAGATTTTGGGAGGGTTAACCATACTCCAGTCTGTAGAATCCTAAATTAGAAAGTTCTCCAATCATGCAATTTATAATATGAGACAGGAAATTAAATCTTGATTGAGAAAAATTCAAACATAATAGGAAATTAAATCTCGAGTGAGAAAAATACAAAAAGGAGTATGGCAAGTGATTTTAGACAGTCATATCTTTAACCATGAATACTGTCCAGGCATAAATACAATGTTTTCTTTCAAGTAAAGTACCCATGATGATAAAAATATCAATCAAACAATTCGAAAAATTATGAATAGAGACCTCATGCCAACATTTTTCTCAAAATATTGAACCAATTTACTCAAAAGGGGATCTTCTTTTTCTGGTTTGTATTGCATGAAAATATTCAGCAATGAGTCTAAAACTTCTTCAAAAGTAGAATGCTATTGAAATTCTAGTTTTGAAGATGTCAACTTTCGATGACCAAAATTATGCTGAAAACAATGGATAGCACGAGTTTTAACTATCGGGGAAATAATATGGGATATGTGGTTTTTAATTTTAACAGATTTCAATGCCCATCGCCTTTTCAGATATTGTTAATATAGTGTAAAAAGAAACTCCCTATATGTTTAAACTGAGAAAAACAGGATCCTCTTTTTATAAAATGAGCCCTACATTTTTAAAAAAGTGCCAAGGTGGGGTCCTATCCATAATTTTTCAGAGAGTTAGATTGATACTTCACTATCATGGGGACTTCACTTGAAAGAAAGCATATTGCTTAATAAAAACACTATATTGGTAGCCAGAAAGTACCCAGGGTGAAAGATATGACCGTCTAAAATCACTTGCCATACTGCACATGGACCTTTAGTTTTAAAGTACATGTACATGAAGTTCAATTTATATTAGTTCTTCCTTCAAACCATATAAATCATGAACACTAGCTAACTGTTGATCTTCAATAGATTCCATGAATTATATATATGAACTTACTGTAGATGTCAGAGAGATATAGAGAATGAAAGAAATGAAGAGTCTTAAAATGGTTTTTATTTGACCATTCTTGTTCAATGCCAAGGCATTACCTATTGCTGCAATTGAAGTACATGTGTATATCAAACTGATGCGATAAATCATATATGGATCAATTGAAGTACATGTGTATATCAAACTGATGCGATAAATCATATATGGATCAATTGAAGTACATGTGTATATCAAACTGATGCGATAAATCATATATGGATCAATTGAAGTACATGTGTATATCAAACTGATGCGATAAATCATATATGGATCAATTGAAGTACATGTGTATATCAAACTGATGCGATAAATCATATACGGATCAATTGAAGTACATGTGTATATCAAACTGATGCGATAAATCATATACGGATCAATTGAAGTACATGTGTATATCAAACTGATGCGATAAATCATATATGGATCAATTGAAGTACATGTGTATATCAAACTGATGCGATAAATCATATATGGATCAATTGAAGTACATGTGTATATCAAACTGATGCGATAAATCATATATGGATCAATTGAAGTACATGTGTATATCAAACTGATGCGATAAATCATATATGGATCAATTGAAGTACATGTGTATATCAAACTGATGCGATAAATCATATATGGATCAGCAGAACATCAAACTTACCTCCATACAAGAGTTTGATTCATTCACTTCAGACTTTTCATATTTTATGAGCCAATTATCATTTCCTCGGTCTGAAACAAAAACATGATGTTAAACTTTGTGTAAAGGTTTGGATTAAAGTAAACATGTTTTATTTGCAACTATATAGATAGATGTCATTATACGTATCTATCAATATGCCAGATGTTGAATAAATTTAATTATAATCAACAAATGAACCTGTATTATGTGTAATTGTGTATATTAGCTGGTTGAATTTATAGACAGTGTATGTCACTGTGTACTACTCGCGGATGCAACACATGTGAACTACAATATGCAACATAAATAACAATCCCAGACAATAATAGTACCATTGAAAATTATTCTAGTACATAAAAGTGAGGCTGTTTAAAAGATTTATTATATGTCATGTGATATCAAAATACAAACATGTTTGATAAATTAGACTCAATTTATTTTGCTTTGATATGCAGTAATTTTACAAAATAGATAATTGTAGTTCATGGAAAGGTCAAAATATTGATTGCATTTGTGACAATCGTGACTTTTTACAGGAGTTTGAAAATGTGATGTAATGATTTGCTAAATAGTCTCATACATATTATGACAGTCATTGTGTACTTGAGCCTAGATCAACAAATTACCTTTTATCCAAAACAATGTAAAAGTTGAGATTTTGCAAAAGATAATACAAAATGCCAACACAATAACATAATCCTGATACTTTAGATACACTTATTTTGACGCTACTTAATTTGATGGATTTGATCAATTTCAAATATTAGCAGCTATTTAATTTGGCGGCCCAGCCTATCGTCAGGCGCAATATTGGTCAATATTTGAGGTCCACTTTTGGTCTACTCATGAGGCGTACTTCTGGTCTACTTTTGGTTTTTCTCTGTGTTAAATCCCCATAGTCAGGCGCGTTTCAAATATTTAAATTAAGCCAAAAGTAGACCAGAAGTAGACCTCATTTAATGACCTCATCAGGTTGATCAGGTCTATATTTGAGGTCTAGACCTCATTTAAGCCTCAACTATCTGTAAATCAGGTCTATATTTGAGGTATACTTTTGGTCTACGCCTTATTTGAGGTTCACTATTGGTTTTCAGGTCTACTTCTCTTCTGCTTTTGGTGTACACCTTACGTTAAGGCATATTTCAATTATGGAAATTAAGCCTTAAGGTCTACTTTTGGTCTAGACCTCATTTCAGGTACAAGCCTCATATACCTGTAAGTAAGGTCAGGTCATGTTTTGTTGTTTCAAAGTAGAAAAGTACTTAGTACATATCAGTACACTCCATAGTTGTTAAATAAATTGCATTTATTTTGAATTGCTGTGTTGTTTTCTAGGATTAACTTGTCTCATGGATAAGATACAGATCTATAAACACATTAGAAAGATGAAGGAAAAATTACACAGTATTCTTATATAAATTATATGTAGGCTTCTAATATGATGTATTTTTGTTTCATCATTTAAATTTAACAATATTTCAATATTTTATTATTTTCAGACATCCTTCTTTAGGTTTCCCAGATTTTGATTATTTTTTGAAGTTCTGATAAAAACCATTAATAGGGAGTTGAAAATACAGTTTACTGGTCTGTTAACCTAATATATTATAATCTGTCTCCTTCGTGATTCTGACAAAATACTACAGTAAGTGTGGCTTTTTCAGATTTATGTTTTCTAAGTTTTTAAAAAAATTCTATGTTTATCAGGTCTAGATTTGTTCATTTTATAAATGTTTAAGTTTTTAAGGCGCAGTTTTGGTCTATACGCCTGTCAGTGAGGTCTATTCTAAAATGTTCTTAGTTTATCAGGTCTAGAAAATTTTGAAAATTGTTCAAGTTTTTCAGGCGCACTTTTGGTCTATACGCCTTACAGTGAGGTATATTCTAAAATCTTCTAAGTAAATGTGGTTTAGATTTGGTTTTTAAGGCGCAGTTTTGGTCTATACGCCTGGAAATAAGGTCTATCTGGAATTATTGTGAGTAAATGAGGCTAGGTTTTGGTCTAAGCCTTAAAAATACCTGTAAAAGAGGCATACTTTTAGTCTAGACCTGAAAGTAAGGCGCATTTAAGGTTAACTTTTGGTCTACGCCTCAAAAACCTGATGATAGGCTGGGGGATTCAGGACTAACTTTAATTTTTGTCTATGTTTATGTCATTAGGACAGGTATTTACTCAAGATGATGTCTCTATTTCTTTTGGAATAATGTAGAATTGATGACATGTTGACAGGAAAAGGGGCCCAAGGAGTTTAATTTCTGAAGTGCATGGGACAAAAATTCAAAACTCAAAGATGGATTTTTAACTTGGTGGATTTTCTGACTCGTCAATCCGCCAAATTAAAACGGGAGCCAAATTGAATGTATCTACAGTATATGACATTTAATATGCTCTTGTGGCAATGTGGGTGATTAAATTACAACTTTTATCTGTAATAATGATCAATGCACCCGATCATATAAGGTAAGCAGACAGGAAAATGTAATGTAAATGAATTCATTTTTACATGTGGGTCGGACAGAAGCTTACAGTTTTTCCACTTTATGGTTCTAGCATTTCTGTTTTTATATTTTTCTGATGACACATTTTGATTGGAATTAGCTTATTACTGACCTGTATTTCGTATTATATAATCCAGAACAACAAGGCGTTCAAATTGATGCTGGAATTGTTTAGATGTGGAGGCAGGAAGGGCCTCTTGGTCAAACCGTCTCAGCCAATAATCTGCATCTTTGTAACCAGTAACAAACAATTGGAATGATCCAGTCTGAAAATAGTTTTATAATGCATAGTACAACATATTTAGGGGGGGGGGGGGGTAAATACATGAGGTAGTACAAAGGCTACCGAAAGGTAAAGACGGATATACAAAGTATAAGGCCCCCAAAGGATTAAGAGCAGGCTCTAGGAATAAAAAGTAAGACAGAATTCATAATTCATCCCCCAATGTTACTGGACACAAAACCTGACAAAATGGCATACTGAACATTTTCGAAAAATAAATTGAATATATATTTTGACCAATTATTACCCTTAGAGTTTGTTTCACTTTGGTCCTTCATCTACATGGAATTTGAAGATTTTGAATAAACTTGGGAAAAATCCAGGGACGATCATTGTTAACAATTAACATGCCTGATTTAATGATTTTTTACATTATAAGTGATTATTAAAATATTATAACTTAAACAAATGAATAAATGCATGGAATTAAAATAAAACATAAAACAGGCTTAATAGATAACATTACTACATTTCATTTAAATAAAAATGAGATTCTTACCTTAGGAGGGAGACCTAATCTGTGAAACTTTCTCCCTAACTCTGGGATATTTTCAGCAATATTTTTCTTTGTTTTGGATTTCATCCTATCTATGGCATTATAGTTAAAAGTGTCACTGGCTAATTTGACGACCTGAAAAGTGAAAATGTTGAATTATACTAATATTTTTGAACCACTTTTGTCTGAAAACATCACTATAGGTCACAATGGCATAGTTCCTCATAATCCTCCAGGTCTATATCAATGCATAGTTCCACATAATTCTCCAGGTCTATATCAATACATAGTTCCTCATAATCCTCCAGGTCTATATCAATGCATAATTTCACATAATTCTCCAGGTCTATATCAATACATAGTTCCTCACAATCCTCCAGGTCTATATCAATGCATAGTTCCTCATAATACTCCAGGTCTATATCAATGCATAGTTCCACATAATCTACCAGGTCTATATCAATGCATAGTTCCACATAATCCACCAGGTCTATATCAATGCATAGTTCCACATAATCCTCCAGGTCTATATCAATGCATAATTCCACATAATTCTCCAGGTCTATATCAATGCATAGTTCCACATTATCTACCAGGTCTATATCAATGCATAGTTCCACATAATCCTCCAGGTCTATATCAATGCATAGTTCCACATAATCCACCAGGTCTATATCAATGCATAGTTCCACATAATCCTCCAGGTCTATATCAATGCATAATTCCACATAATTCTCCAGGTCTATATCAATGCATAGTTCCACATTACCTACCAGGTCTATATCAATGCATAGTTCCACATAATCCTCCAGGTCTATATCAATGCATAGTTCCACATAATCTACCAGGTCTATATCAATGCATAGTTCCACATAATCCACCAGGTCTATATCAATGCATAGTTCCACATAATTCTCCAGGTCTATATCAATGCATAATTCCACATCATTTCTCCAGGTCTATATCAATGCATAATTCCACATAATCCACCAGGTCTATATCAATGCATAGTTCCACATAATCCTCCAGGTCTATATCAATGCATAATTCCACATAATTCTCCAGGTCTATATCAATGCATAGTTCCACATTATCTACCAGGTCTATATCAATGCATAGTTCCACATAATCCTCCAGGTCTATATCAATGCATAGTTCCACATAATCTACCAGGTCTATATCAATGCATAGTTCCACATAATCTACCAGGTCTATATCAATGCATAGTTCCACATAATCCACCAGGTCTATATCAATGCATAGTTCCACATAATTCTCCAGGTCTATATCAATGCATAATTCCACATCATTTCTCCAGGTCTATATCAATGCATAATTCCACATAATTCTCCAGTCTATATCAGAAAGTGAGACTGATTATCTATCATTAAATGTCTAAATTCATCTAAGATCGATGTAAGTTAATTTTGTTAAGATGATTTTAAGACATTAAAAGCAGATCTATAACAGATGCAAGATTAGTTTACATTTGACTGGGAAATCTTTGGTTTCAAAGGGACACACATAGTGATACATGTATATAGATACAAGGCATTGACAAGCAAAATGTTACCACCTGCCATTTGTTACAGATGTGCGACCATGTTCATGTTGATTCAAATGATTCAGGTAAGCTGTTTTGTCAGCATCTATATTGAAATAAGATTTTACGACTGGTCCATAATTCGTATTTGTATAGTTTGCCAAGAATCCTTTTGACACACTCTGCTCATATCTCAAATAGATTCATAATATCACCATTACATGTAAACCATTTTCTTACCTTTGTCTTTGGAACAACATTTAACTGTAACTTCTGATCTACTAAGCTCGCCCCTGCCTCTGATAGATAGCCTTGATTTGGCACAAGACAACTTCTCCCAAAGCAACATGGACAACAGAGTTTATGCATCCACTTTGTCCATTTTGGATTTAAATGTCCATATGGTTCTTCATCTTTTGGCTTGAATACTGCAATTTTTGTCTGGAAAACAAAAACAGGGAAACATTAAATTGATGATATAGAATCCATATGTTAAAGAAGCTTGTCCCTCATCTTCATCAGGTCACTTTCCTCAGTAGCCAGAGTTACAATACATATAGGATATTTACTGGGAAGGATTGAATATGGGTCTTATTCCGAGGGCCAATATGATATTGACCGAAGGGTAATATGATATTGACCGAGGGAGCGCAGCGACCAAGTGTCAATATGATATTGCCCGAGATCAATATCATATTTTCCAAGGAATAAAACCCATATTCAGAAATAACCTATTTATTCCAGCATGGATCTCTGTGCCAGAGTGGAGAAATATGTTCGGGAGCGAGGAAATTGTGGTGCGTGACTAAAGATTTCATGTTCGCGATGTGAGAATCGTGGTCCGAGTGCAAAGAATGTAGTTCGTGAGGTCAGAACTGATGTTCGAGTTGGTGGAAGTCTAGGAGGCCTGCACAATACACATCCATTCATTTTATCAGTAGCAACATGAATAACACATCAATTCTTTCTCCACATAGCAGTTGGGATTGAGAAACAGATAGGGGATGACAAGGAAATTGATGCAGGCCTGTCAACTGTCCCGCAACTTGCGTATTTGTCACGCATTTGCTGAAGAATTTGAAGTCACGCCAGTTTTTTTTGCGTGACACAAAATGTCACGCAAATACGCATTTTACCTGGTAATTGTCACGCAAATATGTTTCTGTAAAAAAATTTTCAAAATATGTTTATGATACGGTAAAAATACGAACGTCGGAAAAAAACGAAAGCAATTTGTTCGGATTTGTCACGCAAATCCCGTATATGTCACGCATGTTCATTGGAAATTTTCGTACCTACCCTCCCCCCCCCCCCCCCGTTGACGACATCGCGAGCGTAGGGAGCGCGAAAAATTTGAGGTGATAAAAGTTTAGCAAAGGTGCTCAAACTTTGGCCAAAGGTGTTTAAAAGTTGGCCAAGGTGTTCAAAATTTGGACAAAAGTGTTCAGATTTGGACTTCGGTGTCCAACATTTGTAAGTCACTCATATTAGGTGGTCCCAAGTTGACAGCCCTGTTGATGGTACTCAGTCAGATGTGATGATATAACACAAATACTTGCATACTAAACAATAAGTGTATGTCCAATTGTGAATTATCATTTTTTATCACTGACATGAAGTCAAGTAGACATATGTCAATGTATTTAACAAAATACATAGAAGCTTCTATTATCTGACAGATTACAGGTACTTTATATCTTATAGGTACATGTATTAGCCTACATGTGTTATTCAGATATTCATAATAAGACTGAGCCCATTTCTTGACCCTCAATATATATGTATTTATGCACAATCAGAAAAATAAACCAGGCATTAACAAGCATAATGTCACCACCTGCCATTGACCGCTGAACACCACAAAAAACACTGGTCAGATTCATATTAATAATGAGGCACTACTGAACATGGCAGTCTCAAAACAAGCAGACTCGGTTTTTGGTTATATTTTCTTGCTTATACATGTATTAGGCTACATAGGAATGTACAGTAACAATTTTGCCTGCCTCTAATATAAGGAGGGACAATCTTACTAGAAGCTACTCATTTACATGATTTACTGTAAATTCTCCTATTGTTATGCTATGTTTAATCAAATGAGTTTCCCTAAATTGTAATAGGGAATTAGTTGGATTAATTAAACCATAAATAGTTATCAGGTCCAGATGTTGCCAAATAACATTTATTTCATTCCGACTAGACCATTCTAATGTATGAACACTGTATGTCGATTGTAGCACTCTGCCCAAGCAAAACAGAACTTATAGCTACTTTTAAAAAGGTCTAGCCAATATATCATGATGTCTTACTCTTAGATGTACCAAAAGGTGGCATGTTTTATTGGAAAGGTCTATTAGAAATTGATATTTCATTCTACAAGAATAGGCTCTGATAATTCCTTTAGGTGCTATGAAGATTTACGTGCCCATATATTAGCCTATATTTGATCTTTCAAGTAACCTTGAACCAAGATATGACATTGACTTTCCACGACCCAAAGGGACCAACATAGTTTTAGAGACCTTGACCTTTGTTTTAAGTAACCTGTGTTATGACTTTGACCTCCTAACCTTAGAGGACATAGATCGTAGTTAATGTTGTCATAACAAAATCCAAAACCCATAATCATACTGACCTTTCATGTAACCTTGAACCTTGAATGTGACCTTAACTTTGCATGACATAAAATAGCAACAATACAGAGATTCAAAATATCTACAACACAAATAATTATATTAGCCTGACTTCAGATTTGCTATGTTCTCTATGTGAACAAATGAAACTAATCTGACATATTTGGAATCATGAATTCCCATTTGAAACTACGAAAGTCTATGTCATTCCAATATTCTTTATAATTGGGAACTATTCAAATAACTTCACTAATTATACTGATAATATCAATTATTCCTTTTTGAAACTGCAGATTAAGTGTTCATAATTAACTCATTCCACATTTCAATTTTCCTTTCTAATAAAACTGCAATTTCTCAGAAGTATAGTTTATTGTAATTGTAATATTATGTAGCATATACACAGTGCCCATGTCAAGCTGCGCGCCTACTAGGCACCCAGTTTGAAACTCTGACAAACTGCGCGCATATTTCAAAATGGAAAACAGGGGGGACACGACTCCCAAAAAGAGCCAAAATACGATAAATACAAGGTTAGTCTCGTTCTAAAGATAGTACCATTCTGTGAAGATGAACTTAATTTACTCATAGTACTCAATGTTGTTCCCGATGTAAACCTGGTTATCTCAATATAAGGGTCTTAAGTAACTTCTGTGTTCAAAATTTACAGTGTTAAGTTATATCTATGTCTTTTATCGTCATTAGCCGTTTATTCAGCCATTGTGTCTGTGTATGCTAGAATATATAGGATCACTCCATCTGATTAAAGCAGCATAGTTTGTGTTCAAAACGATAATACGCCATAAACGTGATTTAAACATTTTTCTTGTCAAACTGCGCGCCTATATTCACATGTATTTCCCAAACCGCGTGCCTAATATTTCCGAACTGCTTGCCTATCCAAGCTTGTTTTGTATTATTAGAAAATGTAAGCGCCATTTGTAAGCCACATATGTATCTAATAGTAGAACCCCATAATTGAAATACTGTGTGAGTCCATCCACCAACATGATGATCTTGAAATAAAAGTTTAATTGTTACTTCTATTATACATTTTGAATTTCAATATGAAAATCTCATAAAATCTGACAATAAAGGAAAATTTCCAAATCTATATGAAAAACACCAACACACCTGCCTCTGTAGAAATTCCAATGATAATATGTAGTTTTGATAGTGTATACGCGCAGTTTGAAATTTCCTGGCTAAAATAGGCGCGCAGTTTGTGCTTTATTTCCTTTTAATCTCCTGATTATCTGTTTTATCTCGAAATATTTTGAACTATACATGATAAATGCTTAAGGAATTAAATATAAAACAAGTCTGAAGTATCTATCATTTATATTTAAAGTGCTAGATCAATTTACGTATAAATTCCCTTTAAATCTGTGACGAAAATGCCATTAATCTGCTTATGTTTTAAAACTTCGATCCATTTGTACATAGTTTTTGCTAGTATTTGCAAGATTCGTATATTCGCCACAGAATGAACTGTTACAGTAGTGAGCTACATGTATATTATATTATACTATATTCGCCTATAGTTTAATTTGTAATCTATGCTTGCTGTATATGTTGAGCTATTCTTCATTAGAGATCTTGGGTCAAGGTCACAATGACATTATACACTGTATCTTGTAAACAAAACTGAACTGAATGACTCATTAACCCTTGACCATCCAGATAGTTCTAGAAATTATAACCATTCATTAAAATTTAATCATGTCACTAAAGATGTCCAATCAAGATGTAGTTCCAGAAGATTTGTTTCTGGATCATTCTTTCACATTATAAAAAGAACAGCACAGTGACTCTCCTTAGCAGATAAATTATAAGTCATCAACTGGACATCTCAAAGGAACTAAATAAAGCAGAATTTCAAAGTCTATCAAAAGGACATCTTCTTAGCAGAAAATTACAGACACCTACTTTGGGAACATTTATAACAGTGTAAACATACAACCTGAGGACTTTATATGGACATATATTACAACACACACTATATACGGATTATCATATACATTCGTGGATTATCATAAACATTCGTGGATTATCATAAACATTTGTGGATTATCATCGAACATTTGTGGATTATCATCAAACATTATTGGATACGAACATTATAGGATTACAACAAACATTATTGGATTATTACAAACATTGGAGAACTATCAACGATTATTGAAACATTTCGTGATCTGGAACATTCTCTAGGATCGTCAACGACATTTATCGACAACAAGAATAAGCCGTATCATTGATTGGACATCACTTAAGTATTAAACCTCCTTTATATTATTGTTATATTATTTAGTTTTTCAAAATATAAATATATTGTTATCATATTTTAATTGCTGTTTTTACTTTCTGTTATTTTCGAACGTAACAGAAATTGGGGGCTCGTCCGGGATACAACTATAACAAGCTAAAATTCATAAATCTTAAAATTCAAAATTCCAAAATTGTAAATCTAAATTGTGAAGACAGCAATTAATCAAAAATGAGTTTTGAGGTTGAGACATTCTTAGAAGCGCCCTCTTTGGAGGAATTTGATGATTTAAAGAAAACTGAACTTCTGGCAATTGCAAAACATGTTGGCCTGTCAGTCAAAAGCTCATACAAAAAGGATACAATTAAAAACTTTGTACTTCAGTATTTGGTTGCAGAATCACTTCTGCCTGAGCAGCCAGCCCAGCATGTTGAGCATGATCCTATTAGACTTAAAGAGCTTGAATTTCAACAAAAATTGCAACTGAGAGAGCTTGAACTTAAACTACACAATGAAATCAGAGAGAAAGAAATGCAAAA